TGTAGTTTTGCTGACCATTGTCATCCCAATACATTTCAATCAATCAATCAATACAAGTAACACTTATTTCAACAGGCCAGCCCCATGTGATTGCAAAATGTCTTTCTGAAACTCCTGGGACTCCTCGCTTCCAGATTCAAACAGAGTAGAATATGGAGAATCCTCTTCCTCAATAGTTCAAACAAATACCCTAGAATTGAGTTCCCGGAGCCCTGACTGCCCTTCCATGAACCAATCCTAGAGTCCAAGAGAATGGCATAGGCCAACTGGTTTAAGCCACTGGAGCTAAGTGTGGGGTCAAACTCACTCTGAATCATAGGGTTCTGTTAGAAATAGAGAAGACAAGAAGAAACATGGCTGCATAAGCAACAAATGAATACTACCACCTGTTTCATTGTCAAGTGCAGATTGATATTTGTATCGAGTACTGCTAAGCAGTTGGTTATATTGGAATTTCTAGAGAAGTCATAGAGTTGAGTACAGGAAAATTCTGACTTGTTATTCCCTTAAACAGATCTTGAACTGCGAAGAAGAGGCAAGAAGGAAACATTGTCTCCTTAGGGAGGGAATAGGTGGTCCAAAGCTAGAATTAACATAGGCATTTAGACACCTGGTCCCGTTTCTACCCGACTTCAACAACCAGCTAAGGTTAAACACTTCAGCAGCCTTGAACTTTGTAAATTCCCTATCAGGCTCTGACAAATCTGTCCTGGGATTTTGTAATGGAAAGAGGAGTGAACTAAGCATCCGGTGACCTGGGTCCTGTTCCCAGCTCTGTCACTAACTAGCCCTGTGACCTTAAAAAAGAACAATAACCTTTCTGTGCCTCAGTTTCTCACCTACAAAATGAGGGGGAGGACTGAATTAGATAATCCCTTTCTGCCTATAAAATCCCTTGACTATTGAATCCAAGCTCCCATGACCTGAGATCTGCTCGGGGGTTCTGATCTCATAGACAAACAAAATACCCTGGTGAATCAAGGGGATTTATCAACACCGTCCAGGCCTAGTGGATACCATGGAGGCCAGGCAGGGTGTGGTGCTGGGAAAGAAGCCCAAGACACCTAGTTCCTTGTTCTAAATAGCATTCAGTTCACCCTATGACTCAGTTATCAGTACTTCTCTCTTTCCAAACAGTGCAAAGTTTCAGTCTTCTCTGTGATGTCAACAACAATTTATTGGGTTGCCAATCTATAGTGTTAAGAGAAAAACAAAATTCTGCTTTGTATTTTGAACCATATCCAATCAGATTCCTGTCTCCAATTACTACTTAATATGGATAATCATTTCCTGAATAACCTTAAACATAGGCTTTTTCTAATTTAACAGCAGCAAGGGCTTACAGACGGAGTTAATCAGGGAGCATGTTGAATGCTGCAGAACCTATGATAAAACACGCTATCTCAACAGTTAATATGAAATTAAGCAGAACTCTTTGATTACTCATTTTAAAGATTCACAATTATAAATGACAGTGACAACCTAATCGAACGCTGAAGTAATAAGGCTGAATCGGTGATTCTTTGGGGCCAGGATGAATATTCAGATTAAGAAAAACTGCTAATGAAATCCCAAACACGTAATTTCCCATGTATTACTTTCTGAAACTCAAGTAGTTATATGGCTTAATTGGGCCTGTTTGGAGGATTATCACAACATCTTATTTCTGCAGTGAATGGCATCATTCGACGTTTAATATTCATTGAGGCTTTTATGAAACAGAGAGGTTTCCATATGTCTCTAGAGCAAAACATTTGTGTTTGCCATCTGCTACTCAAGAGTAGTTTTGTAGAAAAAGAATGCAAATCGCTCGGTTCTTTAATTACTTCGGGGTTTGGCTATATGGTAGTTGGGACTGTGGGGACAGCCAATTCACTGGTAGGAGAATGCTGTTGTTTACTTAGCCACCGACTTAAAGCATTCTTTATAAGCAAATGGCATGAAAAGAAATTGAAGCCTAAAATTGTCTTTGTCCTTTTAACTCAATGCAAAGACCATTGTGAAGTGATGGGTGAGACTTTTTAAAGCTGGCATTAAGGAGACACTGCCTATGACACCTGACTTTAAAGTCAGGATAGCAAGTATCAGTTCTCTTGTCTTCTCTTAGTCCTGACACCAAAGAAATATATAACTCAGGCTGGCCGAGTGGCTCAGTTGGTTAAGAGCTTGCTCAAGAGTGTGAGCTCTGAGCAACAGAGTCACCGGTTCGATTCCTGGCCTGAGCTGAACTGCCAACAGGTGGCAGGATAGCTCAGTTAAAAAAAAAAAAAGAAATATGTAACTCAATGCTTTTTAAAAAATTAAAGGATCTCCTTGAGCTAAGTATCCAAAAAAAGGTAATTTAATCTTAGTCATCTAGGAGCTAATTACCTGGGCTTTGGACTCCGTGCCATTTGTTTCTCCTTCCTCTCTTCTCATTAGCTTCTTGAATTGTGGGTAATTCTCTGCTCAGTAACATCTCCACTAGCCTATGGATACATACCATTAGTTTTGCTTAATCAGAAGTATCTTCAACCAACAGAGTTTAACCAAAAGTGGAAACCCTGAAGCTTGGAGATTATCTGTAGGTTTCCGTTATTGATGCTTTTTCTAGCCTCCCTCACAGTAAAATTTCATTTATTGGGGTTATTAGTATACAGAATGTAAGAAACTGACAAATGAAAGGACCTAGTTTGGCCACTAACTAGTTATGAGATCCTACCTCATGGACCTCTGATTTCTAAGACCAGTGTCTGCTTTAAGATGCTATAAAACCAATCAATATAGAGATAGTTTATTGTAATGTTTCCAAAGTTCATAGCTTAGAATACCAAGTAAATCAGCAGATGTTCGCAGGTGAAACTAGAAGAAAGAGTTTTATGGTGAAACCCATTTGAGAAATGCTGCTACCATAGTATTGGGATGGCATAGCTTCTCATAACCCTTAATGTGCTGATGTGTCTGTGACTCTCCACAACTGAGTGCCATGCACAGCTTTTGCCACACCCCTGCCTGAGACCCCTTTTGGATGGAGCGTCTTATGGGACTGGTGTCCTGCAGAATACATGTTGAAAAACTATGATTTAATCTAAACCCTTAGTGTTAGATATGAACATCTAAATTATAAAGTCCTACTGTTGTGATGAAAATCAGCATGTTTACAGGAAACTGTCGAGAAGGGAGGTAGCATCCATTCCAGGGTTCCTGACAACTGGACAGAGAACATCCATCCTTGCCTCCCAGTTTTCTCTTGAATTCCAGGGCAGGTCTCCCTCATGCTGCCCTTGTCACTTGTTACACTCACTGAAAGATCAGCCAAGGGGGTGGGGAGAGCGCTGCGACAGCTGTTTCCTCCACACATGGGGCAGCTGCTTTAACCCCAAGTCCTGGGCAAATTGGTAGACAATGTACTAAACTGAAGTGAAAATCACCTTATGTGCAGAAGCAATTTTACCCAGAATTTTGAAAGTTCAAAAAACTAGATTCTTAAACAAACATTCTGGATGCTGTGTTATTCAGAATAAAACACTAATGTCAAGTAATTAAGTTAACGTTCATTTTTTTCTTTTGTATTATTCTGTATTTTTAGTGAGGTATAGGATATGTTAGAGGGTCACATCACACCAAGGCTAATTTCCTACAGGGACAGCTAAAGTTCTGTAAAACGATCTGCACAATAAAATGTTTTTAAAGATGAATTATTTAAATTTCTTGAGGGCATTAATTATATTCACATTGTCTCCTTAATAACTAACACAGGGCTTGGCATATATTAGGCACACAGTAATAAATATGTTGCACTAATTAGTAAATTATAATCTGGTGATTGGACTTTAATAAAATAATGGTAATAATACACTAATGGTATTAATGATATCCTACCTTTTCAAAAATCTCAAAGATAAATTCCTTAACCTGTTTAAGCTTTATAAGCTAGTTAGCACTCCTTATATGTAATCTTTTATTTTCATAAACAATTGCACTGTAGTGTGGTGTTTCTTTTAAGTAATAGTATATGGGATCACTTCTACATTTGACTTTTAATCACATGCACCTAGACTTAGAATTGGAACAAGTCAGTAGCTATCGAGGCCTTACTTCCAGTCGTTGTAGAATTCCGCTTTCAGACACTTGGCCTGTATCAAACGTCCCCATAGATATCACACATAATAGTACGCTTGAAGAAATGTGTGATCCTGGATGGCCTTCTGAGTCATCAAAGAAGGATGAGGTAATGTTGGTAAATTACAGTTTGTGTTTCATTCTTTTAATGAAAACTTTTTTTAGTGCCTACAATATAAATATTAATATAAAGCAACTCACTAGGTACTATAAGGGAATAAAGATGAAATTGGTACACACCATCCTTTAAGAAGCCTATGGTCTTGCACGAGAGGTGGGGCACACACACAAGTAATTACAATGCTAGGTAAATTATGATATGCCTGTAATGTGTTGTGTTGGCTTATAGTTCTTTCAAAATTAGTTTATTTTTCATTTAAAACTAGTAGTCCACAGTTAAGCAGATTACCCAGTGTGTTAGAACTCCCCACTCCCTAGCTATTCTGGATAAACGGAAGGTTACGTCACTTGTTATCAGTGACGTCAGGTTTTAGGAGGAGTCATCAGCCTCCTCCACTAGCCACGCTTCTCATCAGATGTCAGGACAGCATCATCCCAGCAAGGTCTTACTGACCAGCACTAAGTCACTTGCTTTGGACATACAATTCACCTGAACTGGTTGGGCAGAGGATGAGTCACACTGACGTGGGAACCTGAACTGTGGTGGGGAGGCTGTGGGCACACTTTCAGGAAGCTGGATGCTTGTGTGGGTGGCAACAAAGTAGCCGACGGGCCAGGCTGTCAAGTGACAACCAGAAAGGAGGTCAGTATAGCCACACAAATTGTCCCTGGCTCTGCAGAGTGGCTCTGTCTAAACCGATAGTGGACCTGTGGGGGAGAAGGCTATGGGGCAGGAGAGAGCCCTGTCTGTCCACACCCCACAAGTGACCACCACCTGATGGTGTGAAATGGCACTTTTATTCTGATTTGGGCTGTATTTTTATCTCCATTTTAAAAGCAAAAACTTTTTAAGGAATTAATTTATACAACCAACATGCAAAGATCATTAAGGAAATATGTTCTTTATATACTGAAAACAATGCTGTTAGAGAGGGTTGGACTAGTGCCTTTGTCTGAGCCAAGCATCCAGAATTTAATGCTGTTAGCATAACACAACAACAACAAACTAGCAGCAAAATACACAACTTACACATTTCCTTATTGGCATCTGTGGCATAAATTGATGATAAAAGTACTTTTTTATATGTGGACATAGTTCCTTTAAAACTAAATGTAAATCATTAATTTAAACAAAATTGAGATATGAGTGAGTAAAAAAGGTCCTAATTTTAACTTCTTTGCATGTTAAGCCAGGACTGGGATCATGATTGATTCTGAGGGAAATGATGTGGATGGAAGCATCTGTTTTGTCCCACCGCTCCTTGCAACCTCGGCTGACCCAAGGACCCCTCCACAAAGAGCAAGGCAGCACATGCCCACCCAGGCAGTCATGCTTCTCTTCTTCCTCCCACTTGGTCCATTTCAGGGAGGCAACAGCAAGGGCACCCACCCTGGGATCCCCACCTAGAGCTTTCTTATCTGGCTTTCTATGGGCGCTTAACCTCTCCAGTAAAATATTCAATTACAAAGATTATTCATTTGGTTTCTGGTCCATTTATCTCCTGGAGACCATGCGTACTGCCCAGAATAAGTAAGTTATTTGTGAGAGGCAGCAGACAAAATGCTTGAAACAGCTCATACTCTTGTGTTTTGTAGTTGAGCAATTATTTATGGTGTCCAGATTTGTGCAAATTCTAGCATTAACTCATACTACGGCTTATTACTTGGTCAGATAATCATTTGCTCTTAGGTCTTGGCAAGAAGGGCCCCTCCCTTTAGAAAACCCTATCCTTGCTCTCAATTCTCCCCACTGGACAAGAAATCCATAGGCCAGGTGGATTTATTCACTCAAAGCCATGCCCTCCTCTTAGGCCACACTCCAGGTATCCAGGCCCCAGAATTTCTGCCAAAAGCCCTGCTTCCAGGATTGGTCTGGGTCTCTTTTTTTTATCTATACTTCTTAGGGTGGACCGTGCCATTGTTGTGCCCAAGCTGTGGGCAAAAGGGGGTGGTAATGTGGCCAGAGCTTGAACAAATGGGCTGGGATCCTCATCATGTGTGTGTGTGAGGCCCTTCATGATGCAGGTCCAGCCTCGGGGTAGGAAAGAAGGACATTAGTCCGGGCCAAGACTGCTGTCTGTGAACCACTGCATTCTGATGTGGAGCTCTGAGGAGCCAGAATATTTGAAATTCAAACCGATTTTCTAAGTCATTATAAACATACATCTGTCAGGGTGGGAAACTAGCTTGTTAGCTAGAGTTACACTTTTCAAATATTTAGACATATGATATGTGGGCCTCCATTTTTACCCTTGCCTCAGGCCCCACAAACATAGGACCAGGCTTGTCCTTGGGATATGTTTCATTTTGAGTTCGTTTAAAATTATAATGTAAAGGATCTGGTAACAAGGGTGTTAAAGTGTGGGTAGTAGATAGGCTGCTTTCCACCAGGTCAAATGTAGCATTGCTCTCAAGCACTTTCCAACTATGTCTCAATGTCCTGGCCCCGTTCCCTGGCCTGACAGGGGAAAGTGTGTGTGTGTGTGTGTGTGTGTGTGTGTGTGTGTGTGTGTGTGTGTGTGTGTGTGTACATGTACATGTGCATATTTAACATCCGCTGAGAATCAGCAGAATATGATTTGGTCATTTTCAGATAATTCAAGCCCCTACTGCTGCTCTGGTCTAGATTGCTGCTGTTTCCCTGCCAAGCAACCTTTCCCAGTTGACTTCCTTAAGCTGCTTGGAGTTAAGAACTGGGCACTTTGAAGGCCTCTTCCAAGTGAAAAAAAAAGAATGAACTAGAAAGAGAATTGGGCCAGGCACCTTTGATTGAACACCACTTCACTTCAGCAAATCCTTAAGCCTTTCTATCTGTTTTGTCAGCTGTAAAATGAGCAGACTAATGCAGCCCTACCGCAGAGTGGCAGGTTTAATTAATGATGATTGGGATGGGCTTTGTAATGTAAAGTCGTACATAAATGAAAAGAAGCATTTGAGCCATTTCATCCAAAGTCTGGAGTGCATCCTGCTTTCCACCGCCACAGTTAAGCCTCTAAGTCCTGATCACAGACTGCTGCAGACTTCAGGGGTGCTGAAAAGCAGAGCTGGGCTCACATTACCTGAACAGAACAGCGTTTGGTAATGGGATTGGAGCGCAAAGGAGTAATCAGTGCACGGTTCAGATTTCTGGATGGCAGGCAGCACCACCGTCCACTTGGTCTAGCTGGGGCAGATGATGGGCTGGTTTCTGCAATCAGAGTACAAAGAACAGGTGTACCCCTTTATTCTTCGGGAAAGATCCTTCAGATCTAACGTGTCACATTGAGGGGAGAGCTCTTTTCAAAGATCTTCCCAGCACTTCTTCCTGTTGTCCCTGGTGCGGTAGGCTGGCTGAGAGTTCACATTAGAGGTGTTTTCTTCAGGGAAAGTGTTTACCAAGAACATGCAACAAGGATCAAGCCTGTCTAGAATCCATTCCTTCCTTTAAAGCCTAGTGTCTTATTCTTAGGGGTCACATTCCACAGGTGATTTAAAGACTACATGATTTACCAGAAGTCACAGTGGGCCTGCTGTGAATCATACCTCAGAATTGTTTGGCTTACATGGGATTTCTGTCTCTCTCATGAGATTCATCTAACATTCATATGCAGCAAATCAACTTCTATATACTTAGTAGACATGCTCTCTTTTTCCCTTAATCTCCTGGAGCCTTTGTGTTTCTAGGGTGGCATATTGTATTCAGTGTTAGGTTATAGCTATGTTTGTACAGCTTTTTCATTACTATTAGATGACCTTGAGCTCCTTGAAAACCCCAAGATCTTAATCATTTTCTCATTGCCCTTGACATCAGTACTTTCCTTATAGAAAACACACAAAAAGTACTTGCTCAAATGCACTGAAAATGAAAAGACCTAATGAGTGACAAAAAAAAGATAGAAAGGCTGAATGTCCATTAGGGAGTTTCATTTTCAAATATTTTTTAATGTCTTGTTGGAAGATCTAAGTATATTATATTGATTAAGATCAAAGGTCTTTAGCCAGACTTAGGCTTATATATTGGCTCTGCACGTTACCACTCGTGGGACCTTGGGAATGGTACTTACTAGCTCTGTGCCTTAGTTTCTTCATCTGTAAAATGGGGATAATAGTACTATTTATCTTATGAGATGCTATAAAGTTTAAATGAGATAATCCATGTAAAGTGCTTAGTGCAGTGCCTGGTACCAAATAAGTTGATATCACCATCATCGTCCTCCTCACTGATTGTCATCACTTGGTTGCTCTCAGAGCCTAAAAGTATAGCCTTCAGGCTATACAACATGCTCCACAGTTCTCTTAATGCCACCTTAGAAATCTGAAGCAGGAACCCATTTAGGTCAGAACCTCCAGGTTTTCTGCTACTAGCCCCTGGTTTCAAATTTTATTCTTTGGATACTTAAAGAAGTATGAATAAGGCAGTTTTCATTCAGACATAATATGAGGGCTGTTTAAAAAGGCACTTCACAAATTAATTACTTGTGCTTATGTATGAGTAATTTTGTTGGTTGCAAAATATATTGTTAGGCAACGTGGATTCTTGTGAACAGACTCAGATTCTTGTAAACATACTTGGTATGTCTTTAGTTTAAACTGGTTTCTCCCCTCGACATGTGGTCCCTAGATTTGATTATTCTACATGAAAAAAAAATGTTTTTGTTGCATATATTCATCACCAATTCGCTGACACTCGTGAAGGTGTTTTCAGTTAACAAACAATGTCTAGCTAATGTTCAGTGTTTCAGGGAGAAGGCAGAGCAACAGAGGCAGCTTGAAGGGTGAGGGTTTAGACCAAAGGCAGTGGAAATAACAGTGGGGAGGGGTAGTCACCCTATGGGGTTTCAGTTCAGAACTACACCTCCTTTCCTAAGAGCTTTCCCCCAGTCCCTTCCCACAGGGGTGGGCCCCATGAATCACTATCACCCCAAGTGCCCACAGATGATTGGAGGAGACACTCCTGACCCAAGCTCAGACAACCAGATTCTTTCTCCAGGGCATCTGGAATTGGGACACAGCCCTTCTTTCTGGTCAGTCACTACTGGCCATGGAACTAGGGCAGCATATAACAGGGAACTGGCATGGCATTTCCACTATGTGCTCTGGGAGGCAGAAGAAACTGGGATGTAGAGAAAGGAGACTGAAACAGTGTCAGGGAGAAGTAGAGATGAGAAACCAGGTCACCCCTCAGAGAAAAAGGGAGGTGGCAAGAGAATAGCTGTCTCCATTCCCAGGGGCCTCCCAGGGCTTTGTTCTGACCCCCATGAGGCCCAGCTGCCCTTCCTGCCCTGGCCCATGTCCAGTACACTCTCCATTTTAGCTCAGGCAAGCTTGAGATGTATCTGTTACATGAAACCCAAGGAGCCTTGGCTAAGTGAGTGAGCTGGCACTGAAAGAGAGGCTAAGCCAAGGGTTCTGGCTGCACAGGCAGAGTCTGCCTGATGAGGACCACCTGGGTGGTCCCATCACACCGGCCTGCCAAAATCAGACATGCACACAAGTAATTTTTGCTGATGATAAAATTGAATGGAACAGATTCAGAGTTATTTCTGAAACAACATTCTCTCTTAGTCACTTCCTGATACACTTTCCTGTGTAGGCGGCATTATGGATGGCACACCCCAAATTTTGTCTAACCCTGGATACTTCTACAGGGGCATATGTAATAGATGTACCGTGGCTGTCACTGGTCACGCATGTTGCAGCAAAAACAAAAAACACTGGATTGGTCTCTTCTAATGATCTGTCAGCGCCCATGGCTGAACCACTTGTCACTCATCCATAGCTCTGGCCCTGCCCTGATTCAGCAGCATATCCCGTCCCTAGCTGGAGGCTTTGCGGAACCCTGTTCCAGTAGTGCAGGGGACACAGTTACCCTGTGACTTGTCCTACTCTGATCAGATATCCTAGTTCTGACTGCTGGGCTTGTGCTGCTTTCATCTACTGAGTCTCAGCTCTAATTCCTGGTTGTCAGACCTGAGTCCTTGATTCCTCAGGCTTCGGCCCCTGTGTCTAAAACCAGACCAGGACCCTGGTCTCTTCAAAATCAGGCCTCTAATTTGCTTACATCTATTTTTCCCAGGTGACACACCTAAAATGCAGGCCAGTCTGGGTCACTCACATTGTTCTTCCCAATACCTCCCCACCACTCCACCAGCCCCCCTTTCTCCACTGCCAATAATCATATTTGCTCCGCTTATGAAACACCTGCCTTTTGCTACCTTCCAGATCTTGCTAACTCTGAATCTCTCTAAATCACCATATCCCCTATTACTACTCTGAGGGTCCACATGGTGCTGCAGCTCTGTCTGGTAGGCCTCCTCTCACTGACATCAACTGGGCACCAATTACAGAGCATAGTACACAGCAGGGGGACAGGGAGGCCGTGTGGTGTAGTGAAATGCGCATGGCATGAGCATCCTGGACAGACCTAGATTCGAATCCTTGCCCCTCCACTTGCACAAGTTTCTTAATTCCTCTAGAACTCAAAAGGATTGTTGAAAGGATTATATGAGAGAATGTATCTGGCAAAATTTAGTAGTTATTTAATAAAATATAACATTTAGTATTTAATAAAATACACCTGTCTTTATTTCTTGCACTTACATTTTTTAACAGCTTCCTTGAGATATAATTCACATATCATTCAACCCACTGATTAAAGGGCACAATTCAATGGTTTTTAGTATATTCACCAGACTTAGATTCCTTAAAATGCAATTATAGCATAAGGGACATGAGGTTTAATAACAGTTAAAAAAGCAGGATTATAGTCAGCTATAAGTTTATGTAAATCAAGTGTGATGCTATTGCATTGCCAAAAAAACCTTATGTGATACTGGGCTGTATTGATACACATGTGATGATCAGAACAAAACAAGTAATAGTTCCCTGTTATTCTGAGCTGGCAATGTGCTCAGTCATTGAGCCTATTTTAAGAGGGATATGGACAAATTGGAGCATGTCCAGAGAAATATGAAAAGGGTGATGAGAAGCTGCAAATACTGTTTGTAGGAAATTGTGATAGTCATCCTGAGAAGCAAAGCCATCCTCAATTAGCTCTGGGGGTGTCATTTTGAAAATAAACGACATGTATTTTCTATGTTCCCTTCCTAGGCCAGAATCTGAATAGGTGAATTTAAGTTAAAAGCAAGCACATTTTGACATGGCATAAAGAACAATTAAAAGCTGTATAAAACTGGAGTGAATTGTCTCTTCCTAACCTGAAATTCTATATTTAATATATTACCACTTTATTAGAAGTCAGAGAGAAACATCTTATAGAGTTCTTACTCTGTTATGTGTTGTGCTCAGGTGGGTAAAATGATCCAGTAGGTCTACTCTTCTTTATTCAAGGCCAATCATCGAGTTTAGGTTAGACTAGTAAGTAGTCCATTCTTTTTCCCATTTTTCATTTCCACTCTCTGCTTTTTGATCTGAGGAAAAGACAAAAGTAAGCCCCAAATTGTCAATATGGATATTTTATTAGCAGTTCTGATGATGATGGAAATAGTCCTAAAATAAGTCTTTGGCATTACCTGAACAGGAGATTATGCTCATCTCTTCCCCACTCTGTTTAAAGTGACTTCATCCTAGTACTTGACATTGGCCATGGTGGGGATATTTATGGAAATTAGCAAACATTACAGATTAGCAACACAACTTCCCTTCCAGCTCACTTCCTAGTGCTCCACTGCTTTAGAGTCTATGCTTCCCACTGACTACCAAGCTGGAGTGATTAATAATGAAGACAGACATTCTACTAGATTTTTGGACTATGTGTTTCTATAAAAAAAATACATTTAGAGCCAATGGTATGTACTTTCATGTAAGGGCAATTTGGAATTTAAGTAGTTTAATATAGCTAACTAGTTTCAAGTGAGTGGAATATTTAGGGGAAAATATTTGGGGAAGACTAGACCCACTCTCTGCTGTCTTCTAGGCCACTTCTGATCCTTCAGGAAAACACAGAATAACCATGGGCTGCACAGCTACTTATGCAGTAACAGAGTAACAGACTTAAGAAGACATCTCTAAGACAAAGGCCCTCTGGAAATGGGGAGATAAAGCTCCCTGCTGGCCAGTGCTTGTCCTGCAGGACAAGTGGCTCCTTGTGCCACCTGTTGGATTTTAAAAGAACAATCTCTCAGCTTTCAAACAAAGGCAAGACTACAACAAGTATTTTCTGCAGATGGAACATAGTCATAATATTCCTTAAGGCAGAGCTATTGTAAAAGCACTGCATTTTACAAGTCATTATGAGGGAAATCACCATCAGCCCAAGGTTCCCAGAGTCAACTGATTTCTATATCACCAAACAAGCTCTAGCAATTACAGTTGGCATTTATTGAGCACTTGCAGTACACTATTCACTTTACAAACATTATCTCACTTTGCATTCATACAACCTTATAAAATAGGTAGAAATATTTTCATTTTACAGATGGGGAAACAACTTAAAGAGGTTAAGTGGCTATTAGAGTTAAAAAGTTTCTGTGCTCTTAGGAAACAGTGTTTATATTGCTGCTGCTTTGTATATAGCAGACATTCCATAAATAGTTGAATAAGTTTTTTAATATGAATGGAGTACCATTCTTCTTAATACTTTGAACCCTTTGACCCGTTAGCCTTTTAATCAGTTTTTATCTAATGGGAAAACAGAACAATTTCATTTATTTTGCCTATACACTCTTTCCAAGGGAAGGGCTCACTATAATATAACATCTCATCAACCCTACAATGACTTAGAATTATTTTCCCAATTTTAGGAACAAGTTAACTGAGGCTTAGCCAGAATTCAGTGGTCTTTTGATCTTTTCATAACACCAAGTTGAGGCAGAAGAAAGATCAAAGGCATGCATCAAGAAGGACCTAGTAATGACTGGAAAAAAAGGGTTCTAGATAAACTAGAGGTTCAATAATTAGCCCTTAAAGAATGACCGCCAAGTCAGTTACATTGAGTACGGCACTCAGTGGACACATTCCTGTGCTTATTATGCACTGTATTAGGCATGTGGGGAGTTGAGACCAAATTCTCATCTTAAAAAAACCTATGTATTGGGCCGGTCGAGTGGCGCGATGGTTAAGAACTGGCTTGGGACGCCAGAGGGCCCCGGTTCGGATCCCACATATGAGGGCCAGTGACACTGCCCTCCACAG